TTAAACAAACAAAGAGCTGTTCGAGACTGTAATTTTGTTCTGGTGCTGAAAAGTGTTTTCAATATATTTATTTTTATGTTCATTTAGATAAAAAAATTGTCACTTAGACATTGTTCATTATCATCATGAACGTATGTCAATATATCAAAAGACATTAGACTGGTATTACTCTCGACATTAAAACCCTTTCAATGCGTATTGGGTAAATTTTCAGTTGGAAACATATATTGACAAATCCTCTAACCACTAATTTGTTCTTGTTATGTAAGAACTGTATGGGTGCATTTCAGGGACAATGAAATGAACAAACGAATACTAGTAAACCGCACTTTGCATGCCTATCAACAAAATGCTTTATATAGCCAGCTAGATAGTATTTATTGAAATGAAAGTAGAAAATACTTTTCAAAAAATTCTTATTCCAAAATAATAATGATTTCTCCTTCATACATTGAAAGCTAAAACCTTGTTATTTGACATGCACAATTTTCAACTTTGATTGTTCTTATGGGGATAACGGCTGATTAAAGGAACAACTCATATTGATAAAACTAAATGATCTGCCGAATTTGTTGCTGCTAACATGTATTGTTTTCAGGTTCATGGCCTTCAAACACCAGATAAAAAAGTTCTTACAGCAGAAAAGAAGACTTTACATAAGCCTTATAAAACTCATGGTGGTATACCAGCCTCTGATCGTTTGAATAAGGCATTCCAAGGAATTCGAAAGCAACTTGCAACTTTGAAAGCAAATAATACACTTCTTGAAACCCCTGAGGATAAATAGCTCAGAAGCATGTAAATACTTTTAATTTTCTGCTGTGCAGATTCTGCTGTACATGATTTTTTAAAGTTTTGTAAAGATATCTGAATACATTTTTAATGAAGTTTTTTTTTATGTGGTTTATGTCTTGAAATTACCATATTTATTTCATTTTCCCAATACAACGACCTCACCCATTCACAGTTGTGCAGATGGCAGCATGTCTCTTTTTTTCAGAGCAAACACTGCATGGGCAATCCTTGGGAGGCTCTGAGAGAATTTATTATTGTCCTCAGGGAATTGTGTTTGTGAGATTGTTTGGATTAAAGTTACAATCAATATGAACAAGTCCCAAATGTAGATCTAAGATAAAACTATATCATATATACTTTCTTGTCTGAAAACCTCAAAATGGTGAAAATCTTTCCCATTTTCAAATCAATAAACAAGAAGATATTTTTCTCCAGAGAATTTATCTAGTTGAAATTGGGACGATTCTGCAACGTTACATAGCTGAGGGACTGTGAATAGCCATGATGCTCTCTAGAAGGATCGGGGAGTTATTAACAATACCTACTCAGAACTTGAGGCTAATGACCAAGCGGTCTTGGGTGTCCACCATGAAAAAAAGGATCATATTTTGGAATAGTTTTAGCCTGTTCTATCTTAAAAGTAATTGAAAAAGTGATCCAAGTTGAAGTTATACTATTTTGAGGTGAATACGAATACTTCATAGTTTTTGTTTTAATTAACTTTGTAGATGTAAGAACATATTTCATAGCATTTTTTTTATTTGGACTGAACTCCACATTTTCACTTTTTTTACTTTTTTTTTGGGTTGACAGATCATTATAAAAAGTTATAGGGTTGTAGAATTCAGTGTGGGTCAAATGAACTTCCTCAAAAAATGTTCTATTACAATGCATGTGTTTGATGTAACAACGAAAAGAAGCATTAAAACGCGCTTGACTGAGCATAAAAAAGTTGCCGCGATGATGAAACAGATGAATCGGCAATTGCTTCAGAGGGTAGCCATGGCATTGCCTTTGAACGCACACAAGTACTTGTTAAAACCAGAGGTTACTATCTAAAGGTAGGTATTCAGAGAGACCATAAAATAATTTCAACACTTAGGAAGAAAACTTGAATATCAAGAAGACATAATTACAGGCACTTCCTAACATAAAGATTCTGCCACTAATTGAAGAAGGATAAGTACAAAGGTACAAGACAATGTCACCAACTCTATTGTTTCAATAGTAGATTAGCTGCAGCGTGACCACATTTTATTTAAGAAATCTACCTAGGGTGTCATCGAAAATTTACTGAAATCTACTGCCTTTGTATATGGAGGTACAAAGCTACTGCAATGTATTTTAAGTGGTGTATTTTTTGATTTGAAGTTTGAAGAGCACCATATAGCAAAAACATCAGAAAGAAAAAAAAAGATAGTTTCAAAATATTCTCTTCGACATCAAATAGAGATTCAAATGTATCCTATGTATCGCTAGTTGCACACACACCGATTTGGGACGGCCAGTGTAAAATCGGCCGATATTTTATTGGTAACGGGTGCTTGCACACTCACCGGATTCTTATCGGTCAAACAATTAGTTGCTTTTTTGTCGTAACGCTAGTTGCACACACACCGATTTTGGACGGCCGACTTTGTATCGGTCGTCCAAATTCCAATAGTGAACCACATGTGGGAACGGGACCTGGCACACACGCCGACCGGTGATCGTCGCCGGTAAAATACCGGTGAGCACCCGTCCACTGCCACTGTTTCGCCGGCAATACTGGGAAGTAGTGGCATACATGACTAAATACACTTGCATACTCACCGGTTTTTTACCGACCATTCCAGTCTCGAATGCTCGGTGAAATTGTAGTTACTACGCATTAACTTTTTGGTAGTGCGTGCTGATTACGACAACAAAGCAGCTGATTGTTTGACCGATAAAAATCCGGTGAGTGTGCAAGCACCCGCTACCAATCAAATCGTCCGATTTTATACTGGCCGTCCAAAATTGGCGGATATTTTATTTCGTGCGCAAAGTAGCAAACTAACTAACTTCACTTGGCTTGCTTACTACTAAACTATGATGCACATTGCGTGTTGAATGGTGAACGGTGAATTAAACAGTGGCGCCGCGCCGCGCTCTCGATTTCTCGCCTCAGTGCCGTCGAACTAACGAACTAAGGAGTGACGGGTCTGCGAACTAGTTCGTATAGTTCATTCATAAGATCGCTCTTCCGACCTAGTTCGTTCACGAACTACACAAATCTAAATAAAAGAGACAATAACATAAAGGATATAAACAACTTTAGACCAATATTACTGTCACCGTGCGGACTTAAAATGTTAGAAATACTAATTAAAAATAGAAATAAAAAAATAATATCAAGATATCAAATGGGATTTCGTAAAGGACTAGGGAGGACGGATTGTATAGAATATTTAATATCATACATACAATTGGCATTTAACCTCAATAATCAAAGTGTGATAGCAGTTTTTTTAGACATAAAGGGCGCATACACGTTAATGTTAATATCTACAAATTATATAATTATCNAAATAATTAAAAAAAAGTAATACTTACAGATTCTAAAAGTGCAATAGAAAGAATACAATATGTGGATAACTCAATAAATAGTGATTACATTACATCAAATATCAAAGACAGAATAAGACTAGCCTTACAAAATGACATTACTTTTAAAATGACTTGGATACCCGGACATCAACAGATCGAAGGTAATGAAAAAGCGGATACTCTGGCAAAAATTGGTGCATCTCTAAATATTCCATTGGATATTAAGGTGGATAAAAAGAATTTCATCCCAAATTTGAAACAATTCATTCAAAATTTTATACACAATGGAAAATGAGATACAAAATAAAGGGAATATGTATTTCAGGGTTCAATCCGAATATCCTTCAAAACCATGGTATACGAAAATACCGATTATGGATCGAAGGCATATTACCAACAGTATCAGGATGAGAACAGGTCACTGTAGTTGTAAATATCATTTATTTAAAATTGGGAGTGGTAACAGCCCAAACTGTGAATGCCCCATCAAAACTATCCCTGGACAAGATCTTTATCAAAAAATTATTCAAAATGGAATCCCAGCTCCTTTGAACATAATTACAGTACTGAAAAACCTAAACTACAGAATTTGCAAAGGTTTGATTAAATATATGGTTTACAACCATATACAGGTATAAAGAAAAACGAGAAGGTTAATTCTCCTAATATTCCAAATATTACTAATTAAATCCGTTAAAATCCCAGATACCCCTATATCAAAAATAAACCACCTGTGAGCACAAATAATTACAGACTGTTATCAGTTAAAAAATGTATATCAACAATATAAAGACGTAGTTTGCATTAAGCAAGGCACTCTACGTCTCCGAACGAAGCGACTATTGCATAACATCCGTTATGCATAATGAAACAGACAGATAAAACAGACTATTGCATAACATCCGTTATGCAATAGGAGGAGCCCAGGGGTCTACTGCGCCGAAGGGAAGCAAAGACAATAAAAAACGAGAAGAAGAAGAAAAAATAATGAATTCATGTCATTTGCTATAGATGTCGCTACTCACATTGAAATGAAAATTCTATCGCCAAGGCATCTTATCCAAATCTACCGGGAAAATTCATTTTCTGCAATTTTTCAATTTGTGTTGAAAAGCTACCGAAAAAGTAGAAATGTACCGCATGTGGTCACCCTGCCAAAAATGAAAATGCAGAAGGAACTCAGAAAGATAGGTTATTTATTAGCAAATGTCATTTGTCACAAAATAGATTCTCC